GTGGGGCCTGTGAGAGTGAGAGGAGCCGGGAGGGGGGGGGAGAGGGAGAGGATGATATTCTGAGAGACAAGTGGGGACTGTGAGAGTGTCAGGAGCCGAGAGAGAGAGAGAGAGGGAGAGAGAGAGAGAGAGAGATCTTTCACACCTCAATTCCCCGGAATGTTTCCATAGTGGCGAGTGTATTCCGTGCTCTGCGGCATTCCATACCGCAAATCTGAAGCTCATATCTATCTCTGATCTAGCTCCTGCTGCAAAGAGGCATCACCTTAGCATCTACCTGTGTCTCGGCATGAGCGACTGTTCGAGAATGGAAAGTGTCTCTCAGCCATGGCTGGCTATGAAGGTTTGTTAAACCACGAGTACCTCCACGTTTTTAGGCCGTTAATGCGGTGGCTGAATCGGTGCGCCTTGTGGGTCCATGTGCATTTGTGTCAGAGCCTCCCCAGAAGGGGCCTAAGACCCCCCTGGGGTACTGGTGGTTTAAACTCAAGCTAAGTATGTATGGAGAGAATGACCCCTCTCGAGTTCCCTAGGCTAGTTGTATTTACTGAAACATAATCGTTTTTTGGCTTGGACTTGTAGATGACTGGATGACTCTTTAAAAATGAACGCGATCTTCTGCACTGAGCTATTCATGTCTCACGATTCGACCGCCGAAATTTTGGAAGCCCCCAAAAAAATCAGCAGAGGCTTATCATCTCGAGAATGACAAGTGAGTTGAGAGTGTTGCTACCTGACACCGCTCAGGCCCTTTCTGCTGTCTGTCGGTGGGAAAATGACGACTTCCAGCTGAGCGTTCTATGTGCAGTAGGATCCACTGGTAATCCAGCACATGGGACCCATGTAAGGTACGCGTCTTATTCTACCGTGTAGGAAGTCGTCTTGAGCTTGCTAGAGAACCCATACTGGAACACAAAGATGTACGTTTTCTCGGTGTATTTCACCCTCTTGCTTTTCCCTTCTAGTTCTATGATGCTTATGTGGTAAACTCCTTTGAAACGCAGCTGAGCAGATACGGAAGACCAAGGTCAGTCCTCTACACAGAGTAAAGCTTGAATGGTTTGTATGTAGGTTTCTGCGACTGTATTGCACCCAACACCTTGCCTTCCTCTCACCCACTTGCTGGGCAAGCGATATGCCTCGTGGTCGTTTGTTAAACTACCAGTACTTCCTAAATCCGTGCCCGTTAACAAGCCACAATTTTAGGAAATGTACGGGTTACTACAGGAGCGCCCAAATTCATCCGACTAGAAATGGTTCTACTCTATTTTTTCCCGCGGCCGGTAGCTGGGCCAAGTACTGGCGGTTTAACTGTGATCTTCGGAACATGACGGAGCTGTATTATTTCTTTTCACTGTCCTCTAATTCCCTGTTCCAATTTGAGGTGAGTACTTCTGTGTGAGTTGGCAGTTGCACATGTTTAATTGTGCTCCTCTCTGGGTGTCCTGATTCCTCAAAAAAAAAAAGAGGAAAGTAACGAATTTCGCCACGATGTTTTGTTTTTCCTTTGCACCTTTGCAGATCATGGACCAGGCTAAGATACCGTTCAACGTGACGCTTTCGAAGGAGATGACTTTCACTTGCTTCAGCGGACACCTCAAAAAGTAATTTTCATCGACCTGCAACCTGCCGACCTGATTTGACTTTGATTTCCAGTCTGAGTACAAACTGTGAGAGCATGGCCTATCTATCGTAGCTTTAACGTTTCAGGACTTGAAGAGTTGTCAGCAGGGCTTGGAAACCGCACGTGGCGAGCGAACTCTCTTGGTCTTGACTAAAATGGAGATGCATTTGACTGATCGAAGGACTCAAGCGATATTCCTTTTCGCCTTCATACTTGGCATGAAAATGAACTTCTTGAAAAAGTAGTTGTATCAACAACTTGTCACCTGAGTGCAACATGAACATTTCCTATGGAGTCACTGTTCATTGTCAAGAAATTGGGTCGTTACTCGATTTATGGTGTCATTCTTGTTGCAGGGCCCATGCTGATCTTCTCTATACTGTTCCAAGTTAAGTAGCTTTGTCCTAAAGGATGGGTTTTGTCATGCTCATTCCTGCAAACTATCTTCTTCCCCCTCGAGTAGAATGCACGGTCATTATGTCTGTATTTTGGTTCCAGTCTGGATACGGCCATAAGGGACCGTACGTGTTATCCGATGCAAGACAGTAGCTTTTAGATCTGATGACAAATGTTACATGCTGCGCCTGCAACAGGCTGCACGGGCCCCCTTTCAGGCCCGTGACGTTTTCAGGCCAAAAGCCTGAAAACAAGGGCCCACAGGCCCTGTGTCGTTTCAGCCTGAAAGCCTGAAAACAAGGGCCTACAGGCCCTGTGTCGTTTCAGGCTAAATCAGGGCCTTTCCAGCCCTGAGTGTTGTCAGCCTGAAACTGAGGGCCATTTTCAGGCCCTCGTCAGTTTGACCCGCCCTGAAACTCAGGCAAGAAACCAGGGTTTTAGCACAGACCATTTCGGGCCTGTTTTCAAGACAACCCCTGGTTGAGCTTCAATGCCAGGGACGGTTGGCAAGAGCGGCTTCCTGGATGGGGCAGCACTATTATAGGACTGGCCCGCCCTGCAGGCCGGTAGGTAGTTCCTACGTACTTCCCAGGCACTTCACGTGCAGTTCAGGAGGCAGGAGGTAGTTTTCAGGATTCGGCAGCAGCACTCTGGAGGAGCGCTGCAGGAGTAGTAGTAGTGCTAGTAGTACTCTTCAGCGCTGGGCGCTAGTAGCGTTAGCAGTGGTCTTCAGCGCTGGGCTTTTAGGAGCTAGAGGAGTACAGGGATACTTACCTGCAGCGCCATCAGTCCAGCTTCGCCTTCGAGGTACCTGCCGCACAGCGCAAACTTCACAGGTTAGTACCTGGCATATGAGAGAGAGAGAGTTCTTCTTCCTTTTCTCAGTCCACCATCTTCATCTCATCCTCTCGCTACCCGACTTCACTGCATCAGAGAGCGGGCTTGGTGACATTTGGATCCAGACTCGACATTTGGGCTTCAGACATTTTGACGAGGGATTATTTGGGACTTGTAACAAAGACTTGGTGTTGACGACATTCCCATCTCTCCCCCTTTTCTTCGTCTGCTCCCCTCCTCTTCGTCTGTGCATGATCTGGACCTGGCGCCTTCTTCTTGTGTATAGCGCCAGGCCCCCCTTCACACTTGTGATGAGAATGATGTATGTTGGGTCTGCGTTGCAACGTTGATTGGGCCAGTCATTGGTATCCTAGCATTCTGCTGCGCGGGAGAGGTCAGTCCTGGTCTGTTGCAACGTTGATTGCACTACGTGATAGAGGTCAGTCCCGGTCAGGTCAGGACTTGTATCTAAGTCGTCCGCTGTGCCACAAGGCGCCATTTTGTATGTATCAGAATGCACATTGCCTGCTGAGATTTCACTTGCACTGCATTGTCCATTCAGTCCTTTTTATCACATTGCGGATCCTCGGTTTATTATGTACATTGCCCAGCTGGGCATGTAACAGTTGGTATTGGAACACCGCACCTGAATCAGGACAACCTGATCTGACACGTGTGCGGGACTAAGTAGCTTATTAGTCTTGATTGATTGATTAGAGCACACTAGTTAGCCGCCAAAATCACGATTTTGACCTCACTGCCGAAAATGATTTTTTTTTCTTTTCTTGGATTTTGTTTTCTCGCTACTTCTGTTGTGGAAAATCGCAGTAGCGCAACATCTGAAATTTCCGTTTTTGTTTTTCTTCTGAAAATTCTCAGTTTTCGTTGTTAGAAAATCCGGAATTTTTTTTTTTGAAATTTGGATTTTCTTTTTGAATTTCCCGTTGTTTAGAAATCCGGAATATTTTTTTCCGAAATTCGTTTTTTTTTTTAAACGGTACGCGAAATCCCTCTTGCAGTTATCATTCTCCAGTTGCGCGTACTCTCATCTGAGTAATTCCGAATATTTGCTGTATTTTATTTTTTTCGGAATTCTCATCGGACAATCATTTGCAGTATGAAAGTTTGAAAATTTTCCTTAGAGTAATTTCGCACTTAAGGGGGAATTGGGAGGTCTACTGAACTTGCAAACGAGTATATTTTTCTTTTTCTCGATTTTTTTTTTGCAAAGTTCAGACTTTTCTTTTTGTTGATTAGTGGCTCCTTATCTGGGTGATTTATCCTACCCACCCCTCCCTACCTATGTTGTTGCCCCCTCTGGTCTTACCTTCTCTATCTATCTTCGGGTACCCCCTGCGGCGGCATTGGTGAGTTGCCACGTCAGCAGGCCCCCGGCCTGGTCTATGCTTTTGCGCTCGCAAACAGCCGTCATGGACCAGAAGTCCGGGGAAACGGACGAGGCCTATCAGGCCCGGATGCTGCTTCTGATTATTGAAGGCAAGCAACGGTCAGATGCAGTAGCAGCCGCAGCAAAGAAGAAGGCAGAGGATGCCGAGAAGGCACGTTTGTTGGCAATTGAACAGCAGTGCCAGCAAGATGAGGCAGCAGCAAAGGCTGCCGATGAAGAACGACTTCGACGACGCGAGAAGATATTAAGCGGAGAGCGAGCTTTGCTCACAATGGAAGCGGACTGGCGAGCCGAGGCTGAGAATGGGAAGCTGGAAGAGAGTGGAAACAAGATCGCTCTACTCTTCCATCTCACGGACCTCCTGGCCACGTGCATTGCACAGTAGGAGGACATTCACAACCTTGACGACGTGGTTCGGACACACAATCACGTGTTTGACCAAGTCAACAGCCGCGTCCAGCAGCTGGAACAAACCGTTGCCGCCCCCATTGCCAGCTCTTCCAGCACCTCCGATCGCCTCGAGACATTGGAGATTGACATTGGATCCCTCAAGGACGGCATGCGGTTACAACAAAATGCCATGCAACAGTTGGAGCAGCGGATCTGTACTGCCGCCACTCACTTGAGATCGGAACGTGAGACTCCAAAGTTCGATGATCAGGAGATCTTTTGCGATTCGACGAAGACGGACGCGATTCCGTGGTTCCGCAAGTTCGAACTCAAGTTGTGGCTACACTACGTCAGCGAGCACAAGCATCATGCGTACTTATACTCCCGCTCGGGAGGCGCGTGCCAAGCGTGGTTGGACAACCTGTTGTCCAAGTACGGAGTGGTAGCTGCCGACTTGAATACCAAGATCAGCTGGGATGATCTAAAGGCAGCGTGGCATAAGCGGTTCCAAGTAGAGTTGCCGAAGCTCAAGGCAATGGAGAAGTTGATGACCTTTTAACAAGGCATGTCGAGTGTTGGCTGGATTGCCGAGTATGAACGCTTGACATTCGTCCCAAACATTCAAATAGATTTCAAAGCCATCAAACACTACATCTCGAGGTCATGTCCGGCGTTGGGCAATGCCTTGACTCACATTGAGGATACCCTGACGACATCGGCGGAGCTCTTCGACAAGGCCATGCAGATTATTGTCACAAACAAGGAGGCTAAGAACCTCCACCGTTCGTTTGTGACAGGCCCAAGCAGAGATCAACATCGGTCGAAAGTGGCCGTGGTCGCAGCAGCAACGCCAATCGACCAAACTAGTGAGGCCGTGTCTGCCAATGAAGGGGAGAGATTCGCAGCCACCCGGGAAGGTGGCCGCCCCGGCAAAGGCCGAGGACGTGGCAAGACGAAGACAAACACCGCATCTAGCCCCAGGCCGGGCGCAGCAGCTTCAGCCTCATGGTCCCAATACGGTCTCTCCGAGCAACCATACAAGGCACGCACGAGATTTTGTTATTGTCTGTGGTGTAACAACGATCTCCACGAGACAATGGCCTGCCCGTCGAAAGGCAAAGGCAAATCGGAAAACTGAACAGCGACGGGACGCCTTCGGAACTGGTCACTTCGCGGGTGACCGCCCTTCGTTTCGAGGGACATGCGGAAGTCGATAGTTCTCTTCTTTATTCTTTTGAGGACTATGCTGCACGGCTCGTTCCTACGCTGGGTACTCGTGCTCACAGACAAGAATTGTGTGCGGCATCTTCTCCGTCCGACAATGACAACTTATCGTCTTCAGTGGTTCTTCACGGGATTCGGCGTGCAAGTTCAACATAGTGGTATTGGACCCGCTCATATGAGATTTCGCATGGCTTCCTCGTCCGACAATGACGACTTATCGTCTTCAAGTGGTTCTTTACGGGATTCGGTGTGCGAGTTCAACATAGAGGTATTGGACCCGCTCATGTCCGAGTATTTCGCATGGCTTCCTTTCCCGACCACGGGCCGCTTGTCGGGACTGTAATGCGCGACATTATGCGCTCATCTTCACACGTACTTGTCCTTCTATGCACCACCAACTTCGTCGACGGATGACGAAGTCGTGGTGGGGGACATCCTTGCATATGTTACGAAGGTGGCCCGCGAGTTTCGCAATCAGCGGTACGGTGACAACAACTCCTGCTCCTCTATGTTCGCATCCAAGTTGGGCAAGCGTCCTGCATCGCTTTGCTGGATAGTGGCGCGTCTCGCAATTTTATGAGCCAGACCTTTATGCAAAAGGCTGGCCTTGGCGCACAAGTTCGAAGGAAGGCAAACCCGACGGCGATCAAGTAGGCGGATGGAAGGACGCAACAACTTATCGACCGCTATATCGAGGTCGTACCGGTATATTTCGCACCTCATGC